GGAGCCCGATGCGGGACTCAATCCCGGGACTCCAGGATCATGACCTGAGCCGAAGGCAGTCGCTTAACCAACTGAGCCACCCAGGCGCCCCAAGACCTCACTCTTAGTAAACTGCCAGCTACCAGGCCTTTCCAGTCAACTCTCTGAACCTGTTTTCCTTCACTGCCCACGCCAACCCTCTTCTGGTCTCCCTGTGTTCTTCTACACAGTAGGCTGTTCACCTTGCCACCACTGACCCCCCCCCCCCACAATCTCTATGTCCTTAGGTCCCCTGTGACTTGGAACCAGACTGCCTTGACCCTCCCTGCAGGTGACCCAAAGAGGGGAACAGCCCTTGGAGACCTCTCCAGCATTGGTTTGTTTTCTGCTTTGTTTGGTGCTTTACCTATGGGTGTGGAAGAGGCACTTTGAGCTTCCTTTGGGGTCCGGGAAGACAAGTAGAGCTGGACTCCCAAACACACACGGACACACGAGACCTCCAGGCCTTTGCGGGCCTCTTGCTCATTTCTCTGCTGTTGATTTTCAGAGCCCGCAGCTTGTGTCCCGAGCTCCCAGGAACCCCCAGGGCCTTCTGTGCCTGCCCAGGTAGGCAGGGTGGACAGACGACAGCCTGCGGGGAATCGCGTGTGGGGAGATCTGACGGCACTCCCCCCAGCGCTTCCCTCAGCCTCTAGCCTCGCCAGTCGCAGGCAGAGTTAGTTGGCTGCTACTTTGCCGACTCCAGGAGGAAGGTAGAGGTGGCATCCGTGGGGGGCAGCCAAAAACACTCCAGTCAGGAAGCAGGGCTGCACGTGTCCCGTTGTTCCATCTAGAAAGCCGCCTCCATAGCTGCCATGCTCCCGCTGCCGCTGCCCCTGTTTCCCAGGTGTGCGAGGCAGTCACCTCTGAGCCCGGCAGTGAGGAGACCCCAGAGACCTATCCCCAGGAACCCAGAAGCACCTTTGGAGATGGTGGGTGGTGGGCAACCTGCAGGAAGTAGAGAGGCGCTCGGCATCTGGACTCGGGGTCGGGCAAAGGAAGCTTTTGTCACAGCTGAGACACTGCTAGGGCTCAGCTGCTTGTCTAGGAATCTGGAACACCTGCTGGGGAGGATGTCATGCTGAGGGAGGCGGGGAGGGACAATGACCGCACCACTCTAAGGCCTCGGCCTTGGCCTCCGGGTGTCATGTCTCTGTCCCCATCTGCGGCCACAGATGAGGCGCAGGGCCTGGGAGGGCCAGAGGTAGCTGAGCTCAGCTGAATCCCTGTCCCCTACCTGGACCATCTCCCACCGTCTCCTACAGTCCCTGCTCCTCGAGTCCCTGGCGCAGAGCCTGCTGCCGGGCACAGAATACCAGAGGCAGCTTCTGGCCGCCCAAGTGCATCTGCAGAGTGGCACGGCCGAGCTCCAGGCCGACCTTCTGCAGAGCCAGGCCCGGCTGGCAGAGCTGGAGGCCCAGGTGAAGGACAGAGGGGCCCTGGGCTGGGGGGGGCGAGGCTGTGACGAGAGGGTCTCCCTCTGAGGGCTGGAACCAGTTGGCCCAGGGAGCCCACCTCCCCACCCTCCCGCCATCTCCAGGTGCGGAAGCTGGAGCTGGAGCGGACCCAGCACCAGCTCTTGCTAGAGAGCTTGGAGCAGCGGCACCAGGCCGACCTGGAGCTCATCGAGAGCGCCCACAGGTACCCACCGCTCCTCCCGCCCGGGCTTCCCAAGCCTCAGGGCTGGCCCTAGCCGATGTGCTCGGAGGGGCTCTTTGGGTATCTGCCCTCACCCTCTGAGCACCACGGCTTTGTGTTTTGTTGGCAGAAGCCGTGTCAAGGTGCTAGAAACATCGTACCAGCAACGGGAGGAGCGGCTGCGGAGGGAGCACGAGGAGCTGTCGGCCCGGTATCTGTCGTACTGCCGAGAAGCCGAGCAGGCCCGCGCCGAGCTCACAGCTCAGCACCAGCAGCGCTTGGCGGCTGCCATGCAAGAGAAGGACCATGAGATGGAGCGGCTCCGGGAACTGCAGCGGTGAGGGCAAGGCCTGGGGGACAGGCAGGGCCTGGCCATCTTCGAGGATGGCCAGAGGAAGTCCATTCCCTGGAGTCGCCAAGCCATGGCTCAGCAGCTGAGGCTTGACCCCTTCCCTTCCATGTGAGGACCAAGGCCAGGCACACTGACCCATTACCGCCTTTGAGTGGAGGGCCCAGCACTCCCCCAGCAGCGGGGTAGAAGTCCCTGCAGGGCCTAAGGGGTCCTGGCAGTGGCAGGCAACCCAAGCACCTAGCTCAGCATAGGTCAGGCCCCTCGCCTGCTGGCGCTCTTGAGTCTGGTGACTAGATGGACCCTGGATGAGGTTTACACTCTTGTGCCCGGATGAGGTTTACACTCTTGTGCCCGGTGTGTCCATCCGGTTGCCTTTCTAGATGAGAACAAAACTAAGAAAAGCTACATAAGGGAGCCGGTCGATGTGGGCAGAGCAGGCATTTCAACACTTCTCAGATTGGCCAGACAAGAAAAGGCTACCCACACACCTATCTTTTCTCCTGTGTGTGTCCTTTGCTAAGCAATGGAAGGAGTCTCCCTGTTAGAGTGGTTGTGGCATCGAGGCCCGAAGACACATAAGGATGAGGAGCCAAGGTAGCGGAGGCAGTGCCTGGAGGAGAAGAGGAAGACGAGGACAAGGAGGAAAGATGCAGGGGAGCTGAATGGCAAGCCCTCTGGCGCAGCTTGGCATGCATGCTCACTGCGCTGCCCTCGCTCCCCTCAGGGCCTCCATCCTGGAGATGCGCCAGGACCACGAGGAGCAGCTGCAGCGGGTGAAGCTGCTGAAGGACCGAGAGATCGACGCGGTCACCAGCGCCACCTCCCACACGCGGTATGGGCGCCATCTGGGCCCTGCCTGCCCGAGGGGCAGGGCTGGGGCCCGGGGCCAGGCTGACCCAGTCCCCCCGGCCCCAGGTCCCTGAATAGCATCATCGAGCAGATGGAGAAGTTCTCCAGCAGCCTGCATGAGCTGTCCTCCCGCGTGGAGGCCTCACACCTCACCACCGCCCAGGAGCGGGAGCTGGGGCTCCGGCAGCGCGACCAGCAGCTCAGAGGTACCGGGTGGGCTGTGGGTACCCCCCTGCACCCCCATCCCGCTGGGACAGAGGGCGGATACTGAGCGCCCCGTGGCCCCCCAGTGCTGCAGGAGAGGCTGGGCCAGCAGCAGCGGGACATGGAAGAGGAGAGAAGCCGGCTCCAGGAGGTCATCGGGAAGATGGAGGCACGCCTGAACGAGCAGAGCCGGCTGCTGGAGCAGGTGGGCCGCCCTCCCGCCCGCAGGGCCTGTCTCCCCAGCACCCCAGGGATGCAGCCAGTGCTCCCCTTTCTGCCCTTCCTGCCCACCTTGCTCGGATCTGTCACGTTCATCCGTCTACTGAAGCCTGTGCCTCCCGAGCTCTAAGAGATGCATTTCTGAACCCTTCGTATCTTTTGTATAGAAGAACAAGCTTGATTCTCTAAAAAAATGACGCCTTTCCTTTCCTTTGTGCTAGGTTATAACATGATACGTTATACTGAAAAAATCAAAATACAGTACAGTTTCTTCTGTACAGTTAGCAGTACAGAAGAAAATTAGAATCACCCACTGGCCAGAGGTAACCACTGAGGATGTCCTGTATCTTCCGTAGACTTACCAACATTAGATGTAGGTGTGTTTGTATCGTGAACCATATGTATTCAGGTCTTCTTGTAAATTTCTTTCTTTCTTTTTTTTTTTTATTTATTTGAGAGAGAGAGAGCGCAAGAGGGGGTAGGGTCAGAGGGAGAAGCAGACTCCCCGCCGAGCAGGGAGCCCGACGTGGGACTCGATCCCAGGACCCTGGGACCATGACCTGAGCCGAAGGCAGTCGCTTAACCAACTGAGCCATCCAGGCACCCTTCTTGTAAATTTCTTAAGCCCCTGCCTGAGGCAGGCATGGTCAAGTTGCTAAGCTCGTGCTAGTGTGGCCCCTGGTCCCCTGGCGTGCGCTGTGTCGCACCTGCCCCGGCCACCTGCCTGTGAGACAGGCACGCAGAGTGCAGCAGCTTGCATCTCGGGGAGCGGGGCTGTGGGGCGGCCCAGTGCCTCTCGGTGGTAGCTCCTGAGCCTCCAGGCCTTGGTGCGGTTCATCCCGGAGCCTGGGCCCTGGCAGCCCTGCTTGGCACCTCCTTCTGTACCTCTCTGGAGGTGTTTGTGGCATAGTGTGGGAGAGGCGGGGCGGTTGCACAGCTCCCCTGGGGCGCAGTCAGGCCTGACGGGGGGGCGGAGGGGGCGGGCAGGGTGTCCAGGGAACGCATGTCCTCACCTGGCCCCCAGGAGCGATGGCGGGTGAATGCCGAGCAGTCCAGGGCTGAGTCCACGCAGCGCGGTCTAGAAGAGCAGAGGAAGGTCATGGTCCAGCAGATCACCATGGAACGGGAGGAGCTGGAGAAGGCCAAGGTGATTGCAGCCACGCCATGTACAGCTGTGACCCCTGCCATAAGCCTCAGGATGCTCAGCCTGTGCCCTGGCCCCTCTTGTCCCAGAGCGCCTTGCTGGAGGAGCAGAAGTCCGTCATGCGCAAGTGTGGGGAGGAGCGGCGGCGCCTCGCAGCCGAGTGGGCCGAGTTCTATGCGCAGCAGAAGCTGAGTAAGGAGCGGGCTGAGCGTGAGGCAGAGAGGGCGCTGCAGGTGGACACCCAGCGGGAGGGCACCCTCATCAGCCTGGCCAAGGTAGGGCCCAGAGCCTCCAGGGCAGCCCTGGAGCTCAGCAGCCCTGCCCTTTCCTTCCCCGGCCCTCACTGCGCCTCCCTCGGGCTGTAGTCCCTTAGCAAAGAGCCTAGAGATAACAAGAATGTAGAAATGAAAACAACCATATAATAACTTCCTTTAATTGGCCTAGGTGCTTTATATACATTCTCTCATTTAATTGTCATCACGTTTCCCTGACTTAGATATTCTAGAAATGAGGAAGCTGGGGTTCAGAGGAGTTGAGTCCCGGGGTGAGGGGCAGCCCCGATTCTTGGCCCCAGGCCTCTCTGACCCGTCCTTGGACCCCTTGCCACACTGCCTCCCCCAGAGTCAGGGTGGATCGGAGCCTGGGAAACCAAGGGGGAGGGGGAGTTCGCTCCGGAGGGGAGAATGCACCCAAGGCCTTGCCGTCTCCAGGAGCAAGCCGAGCTGAAGATCAGGGCCAGTGAGCTCCGAGCCAAGGAGGATCAGCTGGCGGCCGAGAGGGAGGCCCTGGAGCGGGAGCGGCAGGGGCTGCGGCTGGAGAAGGAGAGGGTCAGCGCTGCTGCCCTGCGCACCAGGCTCCGTGCCGAGGAGGTGGAGAGCATGAGCCAGGTGCTGGGCTGCTGGGCTCGGGGGGGGGGGGGGGGGGGGGGTGGGGGGGGGGGGGGGGGGGGGGGGGGTGGCGCGTGGCCGGGCACCCACCCAGCCAGCCCCGCTGACCATCAGGTAGCCTCGCTGACCGCAGGTAGCCTCGGAGAAGTTGGAGGAGGGGCAGCGGGCGCTGCGCGAGGCCCGGCAGGTGCAGCAGGAGCAGCAGGCACGGCTACAGCTGGTACAGCGGCAGCAGGAGCAGCTGCGGCAGCAGGAGCAGCGCATGCACCAGGCAAGGCTCCTCCCGGCTCCGGCCGCCCCCGCGACCCCCTCCAATCTCCCGCCCTCACAGCCACGTCCTTCTCTCTGGGGTCGGGGACAGGAGCAGCTGAGTCTGGCCCAGCAGAGGCTGCTGCTGGACCACATCCGACAGGACCTGCCCTCCAGCCCCGTGGTGCTGCTCCCCAGGACCCAGGGCCCGGCAGCCTCCTGCCTGGGTGGTGAGTAGCTTTCAAAGGATGGGCCGTGGGCTGGGCCGGCCCGCTGGGGGGCGGTGCCCGAGCGGCTTCCCTCACTGGAGTCAGGGGCCCGTTAACATCCGCTTGCTAGTCCCTTGTTACGCGAGTCACACATGTTCGTTAGGGAAAGCTAAGTAAGAGAGAAGAGAGGGGAAAGCTGCTTTGTAAAAAGTTAATCTTGACCTCACTCTCTAGAGAAAACCACTTTTAACATTTTGGTGCATAGCGTTCTACACTGTATGTTTTCAAAATAAAAAATTGAGATCATCTCAGTTGTTTTCAACCTTGATTTCTTTCATTCAGAAACATGTATATGGAACATGTTTTGCTATCAGTAATTAAACATTTAACTGTAATTCTTAATCAGCATCATTGTCCATTGTGTCCCATGTTTTTACTGATTCCATACTGAGTGGTTTTTTGTCACTAAGATAAACACCCCAGTGGAAATGTTTGTATATACATCTCTATACCTTTGCCTGATTATTTCCCGTGAATAAAATCCTAGAATTGGACTTGCCAGGGAATATCCCGTGAGCATTTTCAAAGGCTTTTGAGAGTCAGTGGAAGTGCCCAGAAGGTTGGCGCGGTTGCTGCGGCCCACAGTGGTGAGAGGGCCGCAGGGACCCAGCTGTAGCTGTCCTGCTGTCCCACCCACGCCGCAGCCCCTGACTTCCTCCTCGGCCTTTTCAGCCACTGTGGCTCCTGCCGCCACCGCGCCCCGGTGCAGCCGGCCCCCCGCCGGCCTGGGCCCCTCGCACCTCCACGCCAAGCTGGTGCTGCTGAAGCACGCAGCGGAGCAGGTGAGTGTCCCGAGCGGAAGGCAGCCCCAGCTGAGCCGCCCACTCGCCCTGGGCCCAGGGCTCCTCTGTCCACACTGGTGGGAGGCAGGAAGGAGCACCCTGGCCCCAGGGAGGGCTGAGTCCCCCCACCCCACAATAATAGTGCAGATTGCCCACTGAGCGTCTCTGAGACCCGTCCCCCAGGCCTGGTTCTGTGGGATGCAGCTTGCATCCATCACCTTGGTTGAACCTCACAGTAATCCTGTGATCAGAATGATAGGAGCTATCACTTCCAGAGCATTCCCTGCATGCCAGGCTCCGTGCTAAAAGCTGTATGTGCGGTACGAGCCTCTACCCCCACTCCCCCAGTCCTGCAGGCTGGTAATGTTATTATCCCCAGTTTATAGACAGGTTTACAGAGGTGAAGTCATGTGCTGACAAAGGGCCTCACCATGACTGAGACCTGCGCTGTCTCACTTCCGTGCCCCCACCGCCCCCGCCGCATCCCAGAGCCAGGGAGTAAGTGGAGAGAGGGCCCCCGAGTGAGGCCTGGCTCCACCTTGCTCTCAGTCCTGCGAACCAGTGTCCCTGTTCACAGAAGTGGGTACAGGAGGGAGCCAGGCAGTGGGGACTGCTCACCCAGCCCTGCCTTTCAGGACCGTGACTTCTTGGAGAATGAACAGTTCTTCCTGGAGACCCTGAAGAAAGCCTCCTACAATATGACATCCCATTCAGCCTGAAGGGCGCCACTGGCTCCTCAGCGGAGGCCTCCAACCCTGGAAGTCTCTCCCACCGCACCCCTGGCTGCCGGCTCCGAGGAGGGAGTACCCAGGGCCTGATTACAGCTCCTCCTGGGGACAGGGTGCGAGCACGTGCTCTCTGCACACTCCAGCCTCTAGGGCTTGAGGAGCAGTGGCCTCTGGGGAGATGTGATGCCGAAGGTGTCTCAGCCCCACGACCCTGCCAGCCACAGCTTCGGTTCTCCTCCCCCAGACTTCCAGCTCAGATCCAAGGGCTCACTGGGCTCTGTGAACCCCTCCCTTCCTCAGCAGGCAGATGGTTGGGGGATATTTTCACCTGGGCCTCTTCTGAGGCGGGGGAGTCTTCTAGAGAGACGCCACGGACAGCCTCCTGCCCTCTCTGTCTGAGAGGCCTACAGGGACAGCACGGGCTCTCCTCCCTAACTGGGACACAGAGTCAGAGCACATGTTTTGAAGCGCCTTCTATCCTCTTGACCAAGGAGGCGGGCGGTGTTGTGGGGCACAGAGGGGGCAGGAGGGCGCCGTGCCCAGCCAGGTTTTACCTCGCAGCCTTGTGCTCTCAGGTTGGCTGGCAGAAAGTTCCTGCCTCATTCCCAGCTGCCTGAATCACTGACCAGCCCTCACGAATACTGGCCTGTCGCTTCTTGTAATTAGGGCTTCCCAGAGGCAGAGCTGGGCGTGACAGTGGGGTGTGGTGAGGGACCAGTAGAGAGGCCTCTCTGTCCTGTTCACCTGCTACGAAGCCACAGCAGGTGGGAGCAAAGACTGGAGAGTGAAGGCCGCTGCCACAGCTGGGAGGGTAGAGAGCACTGGGGACCCCCACAGGGCCTTACCCAGGCTGCCGCCCCTGGGAGGGCGCCTTTGCACTTTTCCCTGCAGGGGCGCCAGGAGAGGGGCGGCAGCTTGGCAGTTGTCCCAGCAAACCCGAGGACAGATGGACTCCACTAACATAACCACGGCCACTCCTGAAGCGGCTTTCCTCAGCCAGCGACTGGTTACCTTCCACTGGAGGACAAAGGGCAGAGGAGGACGAGGCTGAGGGGGTACCAGAACAGCTTTCAGAAGGATCTTCATTTACCAGCTATTTCCGGCCTTTATCTTGGACCCATTAAATTGCTATATTCTTAACGATTCGATTGTTAGAATTTGCCTTGACTCCTGAGAGTTTATACTTACCTCTTAGACGTGTTCCCTCTGTAGCACTGTTACGTGCTATAAAGCTGGCTGGCGCTGGGACCTTCCTGAATCTGTACATTCACTGGCTGCCTCACGACCGGGAGAAGAGTGTGATGATCAGCCCTACCTCACACATGAAGGGACAGAGGCTCAGGGAGATTAAATCGTCTGCCCAAGGTGACAGCAAATAGTAGAGCCTTCTCGGGCTGATTCGAAAGCCGCAGGGTCTCAGCCACCTCATTCCACTGCCTCCTTCTAGAAGAGCATGCTGCACACAGGGCTGTGGAGAGGCACGAGATCTCCAAGCTGCTGCTCGGGGTGGTGCCTGCACTGAGGAGGGAAGCATCAGTGTCCCATTAGAAACCTCATGAAGCTTGGAACTCGGTCCTTCTCTCCACAGACACCTAAACGAGTGCCGCCTGTGTGAAGAGCCACAGGGCTGTAAGCACGGGCACAGCCTGGGAGAGCTGCCATTGACTTAGTCCCCTGGCAGACAGGAGCACCCGGCAGGGAGACCCGCAAGGGCGAGCTTGGTCTTCAAGACAAAGAGAAATGAGTGTAGAATTAGGAAGCAGGTCTGTGTGGCCTCATTTATTTTCAGGGCAGTGGGTATGCCCTCACTGTTTTAAACGGTGAGACTATATTTGCACTTTCGAAAGCACATCGTGGCTGTGGAGTGAACACACTGGAGGGGGCAGGTCAGAAGGCTGCTTGCAGGTGCAGGGGAGACTGAGGACAGCACTGCCGGGGATGGCAGTGAGGGGTCATGGACCTGATGCCTGGCACGGAGGGTCAGGAAGGGAGAAGTGTCAAAGAGGACCCCCAGGTTTCTGGCTTGGGCAACTGGGTGGTGTCACTCGATGAAACAGACAAGTAGAGACGCTCCACCGCCCTTGGCTTGTAATGATGCTTTACTCAGTACCTATAACTGCTCCATATCACTGCTCCTGGCATTAAGGTGTGGCAGGGAGCTCAGTTCTCCCCTTCCATCAACTTCTACCCCAGGCCACAGACAGCAGAGGGCTACCCAGCTGTGTATCTGCTGGTGCTTTTCCCTTCAAAAGTATCAACAACGTTTCAAGGTCTTAACCCAGATGCTTAATTCAGTTTGCTGTAGAGAGAGGTGTTGGAGTTAAGTGACAACGAAGAAAGACACGGGGGGCGGGGGGCGGGGAGGAGGCGGCATTACTTCCACTTCAAGAGTCATCCGTGTTTATTATTTGTTTCCAGTTGATACATGGAATCCGTGCTTGCCTTTCAAACAGTTAAATCCCAAGTGAGCCCGTTCTTGGAGCGTTCTAGGACCGTGAGAGAACAAGTGTTTCCCGAAACTAAGGGCTATCGTTGAAATCCAAGCCACCGGGGGTCAAGGGCCTGCACGCCGCTCGCCTCTGTACCCCGAGGCCCTCGGTATCCTCCGCAGAGGGGCAGGCTGTGGTGTATGCCGCCTCCTGGTGGCCGGCCGCGGCCAGGGGCCCGGACCGCCCGCAGCTCCGCCCCGCCGGCCACCAGGCACTTCCGAAGCTCGCCGCCATCGCCCGACGGGAGGTAGCAGCTCCGGTCTCCCGGGAAGGAGGAAGCTGGAGCCCGGGTGGGGGCGTGGCTCGTAGGACGCGAGCCCGGGGGCGGGGCCGGGCGGAGAGGGGCCTCCGCGGGACGCTCAGGCGCTGCTCCGGCCACCTCTGCGGGGTCCTTGACGGCGGCGGCACACGGGCCGCCGTCCTGGGCAAAGATGGCGGCGCCCTGGTGGCGAGCCGCGTTTCATGGAAGTCGGAGGTGGCGGGGCTTCAGCACCTCGGGTGAGGGGTCTGAGATGGGGGGCTCTTGGAGGTCCCTGTAGAGCCCGAGCCCCGGGGCTCGAGCCAGCGTCCGGCCCTGGCCTCACCTCCCGCTGTCTACTCGCAGCCGCCCTGAACCGCCGGACCGCCCCTCTGGGGCCGATACCCAACGAGGACATCGATGTGAGCAACCTGGAGCAGCTGGAGAAATACCGCAGCTTCGACCGCTACCGGCGCCGGGCGGAGCAGGAGGCGCGGAGCCCGCATTGGTGGCGGACCTATCGGGAGCACTTCGGGGAGGAGTCAGGTGCAGGGCGACCGGCCTCGCGACTGGGGGGCGGGGGGGCCGCCGGCGTCCTCCCCGAGCACTGGCGGAGGGGGCCTGCCAGCGCCCACGTGCGCACTGTGGGCCATTTAGTCCCACCAGGATTTTTCACACCTTTTGGTTCTTTTATTTGGAAGATTCCCTTCTCCCGCTGTTAGAGTTCCACCTTATACTTCTAAAATCCTTTCCAGGTTTCTCCTCCCCACCCCCCGCATTCCGTGTTAGAACGTCCCTCTGTGCTCCTAAAATACTGTGTGAAGCCCTGGCCACACCCTGTCCTGACTTTGTTTTCACTGGTCCTCTCCCCGTATTGGGATCCCTAAGGACAGGGATCTTGCCTGTCTTGACCATTTGATCCTTCTACCCGCATAGTGCTTGGCACAAAGGTGTGCAGTTCTTTCCTGAATGAAATTGAAAGCTCTGGGCAAAGTGACTCGGGGATCCTGCCCTTGAGCAACCTACTTCCCGAGTACATCTTTATGTGGAAAGCATTTAGGGAGGCAGTTTTATGATGGTTGAGGACACAGGGATGGAATCCACATAGTCTGATCTAAACCCAACTTCTTAGGAGTTGATGCTGACAGGCCAGGTCCAGGGACCTAGAGAAGGATCCCTGATGCACGCAGGGTAAGACTCAAACTCCAGCCAGCAGAAGGTAAAAGCAGAGTTTTTGGAAGGTATAGAAAGAGTGCAGGTACGACAGTGTGTTTGGGAGATTCAGAAAGGAAAGGAGGGAGTCTCCTCTTTGCTTGGGGCCTGGGGGTTTTTACTGAGGATTGTGGTCTGGTGCACATGTCCTCTCAGGCATCCAGGAACCAGTTAGAACAAAGATAAGGGCCCAAGTCTTATTCCTTGGAGCCAGGGGGTCTTGGCGTTGAGATGTCTAGAGCTGGTTGTCTGGAATACACATACTGTGGCTTCCTGCAGTCATTCTCACCTGGTCCTTCCTTAGATGTTATCTATTCGAAAGAAATCATTAATTCCTTGTTCCTTACAAAAGGCATCCATAAAGTGGGGGTGTGGGTCCTAGCAAAAATAGAAGTAGAAAGGGGTGTGTGGCTGGCTCAGTTGGTAGAACATGCACCTCTTGATCTCAGGGTTGTGAGTTCAAGCCCCATGTTGGGCACAGAGTTTACTTAAAAAAGAAAAAGCAGGAAAAGGAGCAAAAAGCATATTTTTATGGAGTCCTTCAGTTTCCCTATCTCAGTGACTTGCCTGAGCTTCAGTTTCCTCAGTGTAAAATAAAATAATTGTGTCTGTCACAAAATTGTTGTATTAAAAGTTTTTTTAGACAAATCCATCTTTGACGAGGGTTCAGTGCATCTTATCGTTACGTCTAATGTAAGTGGAAGAAGTATCGTATCGAAAGTCTCCTTGGGCCTTGTTACTCAAAGTGTGTTCTGAGACTCGCAGCACAGGCATTACCTAGGAGCTTGTTAGGAATGCAGAATCTCAGGCCCCCCGCTAACCTGTTGATTCAGAATCTGAATTTTAACAAATTTCCCAGGTGACTTGTATGGTGAGTCCATTAAAGTATAAGAAATGCTTCTTTAAGTCTTTATAGCTTCAGCTAATTCTACCAAGGACTCAGGTGAATGTCCACGGCCAGGTGTGAATAGGCTTGAAGGTCATTCCAACCATAATTAAGATGATTATCTATTCACCTGTATTACCCACAACCTAGACAGTGTGACCTGGTTTAGGGATCAGAAAATGCAATCTCAAGTCGAATCCAATTTGCTTAGCAGTTGGACCCTGTTCGGGTCTGGGAAGCGGACTGCACCATGTGATTTAGTTTTGTGAATTAAAGGGTAAGCTTTACCAGCAGAACTTGGGCAAGTGAGAGGACTAGGTAGGGACTGGCAGCTTCACTGAAACTTGTTCCCACTTTCTCCAACATATCTTCCCTCCCCAGATCCCAAAGACAAAATTGACATCGGGCTGCCCCCACCCAAGGTCTGCCGGACCCAACAGCTGCTGGAGCGGAAACAGGTCCTCCGGGAGCTGCGTGCCAACTCAGAGGAGGAGCGAGCTGCCCGCCTCCGCACAGGTAAGCCTTCCCAGGGGAGGGGGCCCCACCGTGTCCCTGCCCCCACTCTGCATCCTGACCGGCATCTTTCCTTACCAGCACGCATCCCGCTGCAGGCTGTGCGGGCTGAGTGGGAGAAGACCTGTGGCCCCTACCACAAGCAGCGTCTGGCTGAATACTGTGGCCTCTATCGAGACCTGTTCCGTGGCGCCACCTTTGTGCCCCGAGTCCCCCTGCACGTGGCCTATGCTGTGGGTGAAGATGACTTGGTGCCTGTGTACCTCGGCAATGAGGTCACGCCAACGGAGGTAACTGCTCACTCGTGCCCTTCTCCCACTGAGCGTACAGACTCGTCCCACCCCGGGACCACGGACAGCTCCTTTGTGAAAGCACTGACAGAGGCGGTTTTTATGGCAGTGAAGGGCATAAGCTTGGTACCTACGTAGGCTGGTTTGGGGTTTTGTTCTTCTCCGTCTCCCCTTTTGGTTTCCTGGTAAACAACACCATGGTGATTACAAAGGAAGGAATATAAGATGAAAGGAAAAGCTCCATCTTGGCATACTCCTGCCACTAGCCCGCTGTCCTCAGAGCCTTCCTAGCCCCTGTCCATTGATGTAAGGGCCACCTTGTGGTTCAGATAGTTGGCTAGGCAACTCTGCAGGGTTCCTTCTATAAGCTTCTCTTCGCTGACCTGCACCTCGAAGGACCGTCAAGGGTGTTTGGATCAGAGTGGGCTCTCCCTTCTCCAGAGCTCCCTCAGATTCCTCCCCTCCAGAAGGTCTGTTTACAGCAGCTTGTCTGTCCCTGATGGGGGTGACACCTT